ACCTTGAGAGAAAGTTGGTTGTGATTTGGTTGCTGTTTTGGTTCAGGATTTTTGTTTTTGCATATCCAGGTTGTGCATCGCTGCAAATATCTTCAGTGACTTGAGCCTTTGAATTTGTAAAAACATTGTCACCGGTGTTTTCTGATGTCGCTCCTGTAAGCTGTGCACAAGCTGAACTCCTCACCTGCTTGTGGATAGACCTACAATGTACAAATGTTCTCTAAATGCCTCACATGCATGCTAAGCTACATGCTAACCAGGCAGCTGCAGCTCACTCAGACAGATGTGAGGCTAAAAATAATAGATATTTTTCACATCTCTGAGAAGATTCTGTAAATATAACGCCGTAGGAAGTCTGATAATTCTTTCCAGAGCTGTAATGCAGAGCTGAAATGATTGATTTATGTCTGTAATGTTTTGACAAGCAGTTATGTCCTTTTAAATTTAAGCAAAAACAACATATATTCTGACTCCAAAGTGACTATTTTTGATTTTCTGTGTTTGTTAATCTTTTGTTTTTGGCAGTTTGAAGGTGTCACATTTGATGTTTTTAACTTTGCGACGGCCGTTTCTCACCGTTTTCTCACGTTTTATAAACTAATGATCACTGATTATGCGAGAAAGTAATTAGCAGAATGATGGACGTGAAAAATTCCTGAAGCGAAGAGGAGCTCCGTGGATGTCGGAGGAAATCGATGTTATTATTAAACGTGATGTAAATCTGCAGGGAGTCGATACGTTTAATGAGCCAGGCGGTTTGTTTGAAACGTCGTCCGGCCTCTGGATTCGTCGCGCCGTGTGTTTCCCTGAGAGGTCGCAGGTCGAGTTCCTTTGGAAAAGCCGACACGAGTCCAACCGTCATCCGCCTGATTAAAGTCACCTTCGCTGTGACTCCACTCCTCCTCCTCCTCGCTCTGTAATCGTAAAGGCAGCGCTACACTTCTAATGAAGTCTGAAACAGAGGCGCGGTCGACCTGCATACAAATCCGCCGTCCTGCAGCCGCACGTGGCTCCTTTATGTACAGCCGCTGCTGCTGGAGGTGCATCCAGATGAAGGGGCGCACGGCGGCTCTGGGGAGAAACAGATGCTGCCAAGGAAAGGACACGAAAGGCCAAAGAAGCTGTTCAAATATTTTCCAACAACCTCAGCAAGTTGAGTCTGAGTCGACCGTGAGACGCTCAAAAAAAAAAAGTTCAGTGGAAGTCGATGCAGCGGTTTAAAGAAAAAACACAAACTCCACCTCAGTTCACCAAATGAGCCTCCTTCTCTAAGAATGTTTAACTCCAAAACAAGTGTTACCTGTGAGTCCAGATTTCACAGGTGTTTAACTTAATAACATGCACAGAAAAAACTCATGAAAAAAGAACAGAATCTATTTAATTCAGAATGAATGAAACTTGGCATAGAGGTGGAGCAGAAGCAGAGGAACAAACGGTTACATGTTGGTCCAGATTTGCATCACTTTCCTTAAGATTGCAGCTATTTTTTTAAATCTGTTTCTTGATCAGGGCTGCAAGGTGTCTCAGTGGTTAGCACCACCAGCTCGCAGCTAGAAGGTCGCCGGTTAGCGTCCCGGTGAGGACACCCGGGATCTTCCTGCGTGGAGTCTCCATGTTCTCCCCGTGCAGCGTGGGTTCTCTCCGGGTTCTCCGGCTTCCTCCCCCAGTCCAGAAACATGCTGAGGTTAATTGGTGATTCTAAATTGTCCGTAGGTGTGAATGTGAGTGTGCTTGGTTGTCTGTCTCTAAGTGTAGCCCTGTGATAGACTGGTTACCTGTCCAGGTGAACCTGCCTTCACCCTGAGTCAGCTGGGATAGGCTCCGCCCCCCATAGTGAGGATGAAGGTGTAGAGATGATGGATGGATGGAGGGAATTTCTTGATTAATATAAACCGTTTCCTAAGACCCACTCAGGTCCACTGTGAATCAAAGAAGATTGTTTTGCAGCTTCTCAAACACGTGTTTAATGGAAACACTGAGGGCTTTATGAGTGTATTTAGCAGCTACAAGGACAAAAGATTTAAAAAAAAACAACTCAATCATTCCTCCTCTTAAGAATCGACTTGTGTGTGAAATGCATTCGGCTGAATTACTCCAGTATTACAAATCGGCATTGTCGGAGATGTTTTCATGGGAAAAAAACTCCTAAATGTGTAACTTTGATCCACAGAGATGAGTTTTTAAATGTTAAATCAACAACCAGAGGAGGATTTTAAAACATTAAAAATTAGTTTATTTTGAAATTTGATGGCGCTTAAAACCAGTTAATTGCAGGAAGTGGTTTAGTTTGATGTTCCTAACAATGACAGACGTAAATTCGACAGTCGGCTGTTAAAATTAATTAAAAAAGATATCAATAAACATCTGATCTTTTTGGCTGAAAGTAGATTTTACATGGAAACAGTGCTGACAAGGATGCATCACATATTGTTTTTGACAAATTCAGAACATTTCTGAAGCAGAATATTTCACATATGAAAACAGAACAAAATGGAAAACTTAACTGGAGGTATGATAAATAACAACAATAGTGTTTCTGTTCACGTCTTTGTTTGTGGCACGAGAGCAGCTTTAAGTTAATCCAGTCACGTTTCAGAGTAACTTCACATCGTTTACCGCCGCACGTCGTTTGTTTCGCCTCATTTTTTCCCACATAAACTCGTCTGTTTCTGCGTCGTCGCCTCTTCAAACCCTCAACGCGGCATCAGAATGCATCTCGGCCTGCTCAGCATTCAGGCTCGGAGCCGCTCACAGATCTAATCAGCCCAACTATCAAATCAAAGAGCCGGTCCACTTTAGCGGGCTGATTTTCTCCCCGCGACGGCGGCAGGCCGGGGGAATTTAGGCCAAGGTTAGGGTCCGATAATATCTCCCCTTGTCTTCGATTCGGAGGAGGGGAGGGTCTGCTTTTCATGCCAGGTGCAGAGCAGACCCTCCCTCTCAGGCCTGTGAATCAGATGCAGGCGATAAAACGGCAAACATGTGACGTCCGACGCCGTGACTCAAAATTCTGCGGTTTCGGGCCGCAGATAAACCGACTCTGAGCTGTGGAGCAGCAGAGCATTACTGTAATCTACACAGCTTTAGGTCTCGTCAGCTGCTGTAAAGCCCTTTTAAAGATTTTTAGGGGCCTTTATAGGATACAGGAGATGCTAGAAAGAGACAGATAGGAAGTATTGGAGCCGAGAGCAGGAGAATGACTTGCAGTAAAGTCTGAGCAGCTCGGAGTGGAACCAGGAACTCTCTGCCCTCGGCTTTACCAACCCTCACCGCTCCATTGTCCATAAAGCCAGGAAATGTCTATGAATGTGTGTCCACCAGTGTGAGTTTTGCAGCTGAAAATGCAAGATGCTCCTCTGATGATGCATTTGAGAGCAGATTGGAATCACAGTGCTGTTGATGCTGAGATGATTTGGTTGCTGAGAGATGAAGAAATGCGTTTTTAGCGTCGATCTGCTTAGAAATGTTAAAATGAACTTTTTGCAGTTTCTATATTTACAGTGTGTGCAGTCCGTTAGCGGGACATATGAACCGGCAGCAGCTGCATCGGCAAGATTTCTGGAGGAATTTTCTATGTTTTAAAGTTATTAATGTCGTGGTGGTCCATTAGTGCCGTCTAGGACAGATATGGACAATCAGAGAGCAGCAGTATTCACTCCTCCTCCATTGTTTGACACTTGCACAAGTACAATCTGATGGTTAGTCACTATAACTGTGACTGGACGGCACAAGAAAAGTTAACAAAATAGATGCATTGGTTCACTCAAAGATGAATATTTTTCAGCTTTCGACAACCAGAAAAAACCCCAAGTGCACAACGAAAAATAGACGCAACAAAAGCACCAAAAGACCCTTTTCATGACTTAAGAATGTCCCGTAGCTGATCTGTTTCGGCACAAACCATAGCTGGATTCTTTGTTTACACCCGTAGCGGCAGAGCTCGGGTTGTGGCAGGACGTTTAAGGTGCAAACGTGAAAAAACATGTCACTAAATCATCATAGTTGTTGATCAATAGTGGACCAGATCAAGTTTAAAACAGCCAGAGTCGACCAGAGCAGTGTACAGAGAGAAGAAACAAACAGCCCAGGGAAGGAAATAAGATGTAATAAATATAAAAATACTAAAAACAAAAACCATTTAGAGCAACCAAAATGTCACCAGAGCTTTTTGGAAAGTTCTTCCAAAGGTTTGCAGCAGCTTCTGAAAAGGCTCGATTCCTCCAAACCTGATGGTGTGAGAGGCTTTCAGGTGGAACAGCAGCAGAGAAGGTCAGAAATGTACCCAGGTGAAGTCTTTGTCACCTTCTAACCGTACGTCTGATGTGTTTCCCCGAAATTTTAGACACTCGCCGTGTCCCACCTCGCACAAAAACTTCCCTCGTAACCTTTCAGCGTGTTGTACTTTCAGTCTGCAGCTCCTCTGCTCTCCGTGCTCTGGGCGGAGGACTTCAGTCAGCAGAGTGTAGGTTGGAATAAGTACATATTAGAGGTAAATATTGACTTTTAGCTCCACTCCAGAGGTGAAGACAGAAGTGCTGTTGTTAAATTCTAGCTTCTCTTTTGCTGTTACTTCCAGATTTCTGCAGCTTTAATATATTTCAGTAATGCATGCTTCTACAGTGTCGTCTTTAACACCATAAAGTCTGATTCTGCTCATGATTAGCACCTATTAGCAGGAGGACGGTGGATTTGGACGCCGTCGCTGTCAAGTAAATCTTGTATTTCAGTCAGAATCCAGTCAGAACATTGTTTGTTCTCAGTTATTCCTCCATCGAATGCTCGTGCGGTTCTGTGGCGTTTGTGTTTGTAATCGACAGCCGCCATATTGTTCCTGTTTGCTCCAAACCGCCTCTCTGGCGGAGCCGCCCGAGTGACTCTGAACGCTCAGCTGCTCAGGCAAGGACGGCCTTGTAAAGGAAACGCAGCTCGAACCGGGCCGTCGGATGTTGAAGCTTGTCGCCTCTGCACCACGATACTAACTGTGCCTTTCTTCTCCTCAGTACTTTGTCCTGCTGCTGTGCATCTTCCTGCTGGAGATCCTGGCTGGAGTCCTGGCTTATATCTACTACCAGCAGGTAATCCCCCCCCCCGTCACGTCATTACAAGATATTCCACAATGCATTCTGGGGTTTTGTATACGAGCGTGCATGTGTGGAGGATTACACGTATTGATTGCACACGACAAGAAAAAAAGTCACACATGGATTTTTTTGTCAGAAAAAGTCAGGAAATCTATATCAGCGTCTTGGGTGGACACGAGACGACCGCGACATCATCATCCGATATTAAAACCTGATGTTCAGGTGCGTGGCGGCGTATTGTATTCGACTGAAAAATCAATAGAGCGTGCCTGACAAATGTTTAGTGTCTTCCAATCCGAGCACGTCGTCCAAAGCGTTGTAGACAACTGCTCCGGCTCCCACGTGGGCCCTGCTGTAATTTTAACCACGACAAAACCAGCATGATAAATGAGACTGCAGGGAGGAAATGTAAGACGGCCCATTAAAAATACAAATATCAGGCCGCCCGTATTACTCGTGGTACATTTAGTCCAAATGGAATGAAAAATGCCTGCAGTAGTAGCATAACAAGGCTGAGTGCGCCGTGTCACAGCCGTTTAAAGGCATTTGTTGTGATTCTCTCGGAGCTTTTCTGACTCGTTTCCCAGCAGAGAGGACGGAGGACCTCACTGGCAGGTTAATGACTGAGAGAACGAGAACTAAACGCAGATTATTTTCTTATCTGGTGCGTGGTTAATGTAGAAACTAGAGCCGACAGCCTCCCTCAGCACGCTTTATCTGCAAACGGGAGCAAATGAGAAGTGTTTTTAGTCTTTGTACGGCGACGCTCGGCTGGACTGCAGCTCGGCGACGCGGCTTTGGTCCGTCAGCGCAGCCGCCTCGTTCGTTGATGCACAGATCATGAGCAGCCACGGAGGTCCAGAGCTCTGTCTCCTTTACTGGCTTCAGAAGTGTCCTGGCTCGTATGAAGGGCTGAAATCATCTCGTCTCTCATTAACCCTCTGAACCCCAGTCCTCCAAAAAAAAAAGAAAAGACAAAAACAGAAAGTGTATCGTCAGATTTTCAACTTTCGGACAATATTTCATCAAAATAATTTAACAACCACGTGATTAAAATTCACACTTCTCACCTCAAATACGCTCACCTGCAGGATCAAGTTTTAAAATTAAAAAATCACAGAAATTCAACTTTTATCTGCTTTATCCTGTCAGATTCTGTCCAACGTTAGTAAAGAACCACCTGCATCTGAAGTTCCTTAATTTCCACGTTCTGCCTAATTTGCATGTTATCTTTTTAAAAAAGTGGCTCAGACGACACCGTTTATCAGCAGTGAAAACAGAAAGAATCGTCCAGTTTTTACTTTACAGGCTTCAGAAATGTCCTCGCTCGTATTAAAGGCTAAAATCATCTCCTCCCTCCTGCTTCCCTTTTGCTGTTAACCCTCTGAACCCCAGTCTTTTAAAAAAATGACAAAAACAGCAAGTATGTCGTCAGGTTTTCAACTTTCGGACGAATATTTCATCAAAATAGTTTTACTCTACGTGTCTTGTTTAAGAATCATCTGAAACCAAAGTGTTCACTCAACCTACAAAAACATCTGTCCTCCTTGCTTCAACCTGTTAACGACTGAGCTGCGATCAACAGGCTGTTTGCTTTTTTATTTCAAAATGCATCATAGAACCTGCTTCTGATTCACACACAGACGAGGAAGCTGCTCGGTCATCGTCTCAATAATTCTGCCAGAGCGAGTCGTGCATACGTGAGACGTTTCAGGCAAACAAAGTGGGTCGGCAGCATTAACACGCTGCTGTTTGGCTGCAGAGCAACCAGCATCTTTACCCTTTTAAAAGGCAAACACTAGCCTAACACTGTTAGCTGTGATGCCAAGCAGCAGTACGGTGTTTAACTGATGGACACCAGATTTACAAAAACACAGCTGGAAAGTGCTTTGAAATTAAACAGCTGTCAGATTAGACAAATAATGCAAACAGATGTAAACTAATAAGATCCCAAACATGTGATATACCAAGATAACATAGTCCACATTTATTTATGAGGAACATCTAAGATCACAGCCGTTCCTTCCTGTAAACATTTATCTCCAACACAGGATCAGATGTTGAGAAGAAAACAGAACAGAACAGGTAGCAGCAGAAAGTTGAACAATAACGAGAACTTTCATCCGACACTGGATGACTAAATAAGAGGAGCGAGATGATAGTGAAGAGTTTTAATGACTAATTTAGCATCTGGTCAAATTAGCTCCACTGGCAACCAAAATAAATGTAAAACGGGTCCAAAGTAAACAGAAATGTGGGTAATTTTAATTAAACTCACTAAATATTCAGCAACAAACACAGAGCAGCGTTGCTTCTTCTCATTTGGGCTTTAATTGGCAACCTCACGTTTGTTTTCTGGGAGGAAGCATGTTAACAAAACTCTTTGGCAAGTTTAAAAGCTGCCGTTACCGAAGCCCGTTCATCAGGATCTGTGGTTCTCGGGGTTCAGATGTATGGTTCTGGAGGTAAATTGTGTCGGTTCGGCCCGTTTCAGCTGAACGGAGGCTTGAGCTGCTGTTACTTGTGTTTCGGTCGGTGCTCCCACGGCGGCGGCGGCTTCTGCTCATTGAGACATTTAAAATCATGAATTGCTGTTTTCGCTGCTGCTGCGGTGAAAACAAAAAACGATGTCAACAGGTAGAATGAAAACACCTCCTCTTCCTCTTCCTCCTCCTCCTCCTCCTCCTCCTCCTCCTCCTCGCCTGCCGCTGCTTTCGTCTCCTCCTTTGTCTTCGCCTCCCGTCTTTCATCTCCTCCCTTCCTCTCTTCATCATTCATTCCCTTGATATCTCCTTCACGCTTTGATTTACAGTGGTTTCCCAGCTGGCTTGTTGCCATAGAAACTGAGCCCCCCAGACCTCTGCTGCTCCGCCGCCGCCGCCGCCGAGCGTTTTCTGCCACCGGTGTAGAGAACAAAAAAAAAAAAAAAAACCCCACCGGCTTCGTCCTCGTCTGCCGTCAGAACCTCAGAATCAGTGACGCACATCAGCCGGTTTCACTTTTAGATCTCGTGCTGTAAATGTGAAATCTGTGGCGTCAGCTGATTTGCCCGTGACGGTGGGTTGTTTTGTGTTTCTGCTGCTCCAGCTGAACGAGGAGCTGAAGCAGAACCTGAGAGACACCATGATCGAGAAGTACAAACAGAAGGACCAGGAGCACGTCACCAGGGCCGTAGACAAGCTGCAGCAGGAGGTAAGAGTTCTGCAGGTCACAGGTTTCAACAAAACACGACATCACATCGGTTCTTTAAACCACAACATGATGGTTCCACTTCGAGAAGATGCCGGCCCATTAACACAATCAATCACAGTTATATTATCAACTTAGAAGAAGCAGATAAAGTTCAGAAAAACAAGAAAGTTTAATTAAAAACAACCTGAAAAAGACTAAAACACACCTGTTGTTCGCCACATTTCTCATGTTCAAGTGCAAATATTTTCCTTTTTTATATCAATTAGGAGCATTTCTTTGATTTTTTTTTCATAATAGAATAAACTGAAAACTTTCTGTCAGCTAGAAACAACTTTTCCGTTAACTTTTGAGTGAACATGCAGCACAGTTTTGCAGAATCGCAGCCTTGTTATCACCTTTGTCTAAAGATGAAGCATCACATCGAAGCAGCAGTTCACAGAAAAATAGTAAATGTCAGAGCTGTGCAGATGTAAACAAACCCGCGTGTTGTCAGTGCATAGCCAGCTAGCTAGCTAACGTTAGCGCTGCACACATGGAGCTGCAGGAGGGAACCGAAAATGGCCGAATGCAACCTGGATTTATTCATCAGTGATCGATGTATTTTCTCCCCCGTACAGTCTCACTGTGTAGAAGTGGACGTATGCTCTCATATAGTTTGTTAAACTTCAGCTTTTTCCTACACAGTGTGTTTCTCATTCGTTCGTTCACTCGCACAAACGTGATTTCTTGGCCGACTGCAAATACAGCTTTGGAAACAATTATTGGACCACCTGCTGTGTTCTGCACAACAGGCTTTAAACACTGATGATTTTGTTGGAGTTGTGAGATAAGATGATCTGCTAATAATCCCACAGCGGGGAAATGAGCTCGATTGTGTTACAGCAGCAACAAAAATAAAGTAGACATATACGCGAGTGCTGTTGATGCTGTACGGGTTTCACTAGGTTTGGAAATATTAGATCTTGAACAAAATCCTTTGAATGTGGGAAATGAAAATATTGCATGTTTTGTTGATGCCCTAAGAATGTGAAAGTCACACGAGACCTCAGCTTTATGTTGTGTAAAAGCTGTGCATGTGAACAAATAATCAGAACTCAATCATAACGAGCACCTAAAAGAAGACGAATAATAAATAAACAGTCGATTCAAAAAGCTGCACTTTGCTCACGCTGTGTGTGTTCACTGGTTGTTTTTTGTAAACTCACCTGTGGTTCTGAGAGTAAACGTCTCGTGGACTCGCATGTGGACAGTGATCCAATCATCCCGTCAGATCAGAGAGTTTTGGTGACGAGTCAGAACTAATCGGATTCAGTTCTCAGCAGTGATTTAGCTTCTCTTCTTCGCTTCCACCAGCTGACAGCGCACGAATAAATCCGAGCCGCGGTTGGGACGTCGCCGGGTTTCTGCTTTATGCTCAGAACAATCCTTTGACTCTCAGGTGTCTCAGGCTCCTGGTTTTTTATTCTTTCTTCTGAACTCTGTTTTGTGTCAAAGTGTTTGGATCTGGTGCGTTTGGAGTTTCTTGTGGAGTTAAGTGAGAATGATGCCACACACGGTAACGTAGCTTAGCTTAGCTTAGCTCGTCTGTTTCTGTCCAAAATGAACGACATCCTTCTGCTTTCATATCTAAAGCTCATTAATTACCACATTTTATTTTATTAGTTTAACCCAGAACCTGGTGTTGGGTTTATAAAGTATGTTAACCTGAAGGAAATCACCAAAACGACACCGTTTATATTTATCAGTATCGTCTCTCCACTGCTCATCTGTAACCACATCGAAGCTTAACATGACTTTACATGACTCACAAGATATTCCCCTGAAAAATAAAACTTCTGCAGTAACTAGAATCTGGAAAAACCTAAAAATTCTGCCCTCCTTGGTGCAACTGTGAAGCCACGAGTGACTCAGCTGTGAGCAACAGTCATGTGACAAAGATTCAGCCAGTTTTCAGCTTTTCCTGAACACACGAGTCACGTTCAGTCCAGTCCACAGATGGTCCTGGTCAGTTCTGGAGCTAAAATGGTCCTTCCATCGTCTAGAACTGGTTCTGACCATCACACATGCTGACATGAGCCTGGAAAGTTTACCCAGAATGCACTTTGTAAAGTTTCCTCTGGTGAATGATCAGAACCAGAACCACATCCAGGGTACCAGTGATTGTTTCTACCACTCTGTGTCATAGACATTAAACTGTTCACACTATGAGACATCCCATAATACTGATGCCACCAGCTGGATATGGAGAAAGTTAATTGGACATGTTTGGCATAATCTTAAGATTTTTTGGTTCATTTTTATCTAATTCAGGATCAGTTTTGAATCTTTTTTTTGCAGGATTTTGCTAATTTTAGTGATTTTTTTGAAGGATTTTAAAGTATTTTGTGTAAATCCAGAAACTCTTCAAGGCGATTTACAGAAGTTTGATGTATTTTTGAAAAGTTTTGGCTCATTGTTACAGATTCTGTGACCTTCTTGAGGAGTTTAAGACTTTTTCAACAGTTTTTTAAAATAATTTTGGACCAACAGAAACAGAACCACATCCAGGGTATTAATGATCGTTTCTAAACTGCTGAAACTATGAGACATCCCATAATGTTAATGGCCAAAGTTAGAACTAATGAACAGAAACCAGGTCCAGTGTTCAGACTGAGACACTTGGATGGATGTAGAACTGATCTGGTGTCAGGTTCTACCAGAACCCAGATGTGTTCTTCCTCCTAAATGTCATGTGTCTATCTGCTGTACTGATGAAGTTCTGAGGCTCAGAAATGATGGAAACTGGACTTTAAGGGACTTCAAGTCAGAAAATATTCACAGTCTGAAGGCAGAACTTACTGCAGATGAAGAATGAACTGGTTCTGTGGAGGAACTTTTTCACATGTGGTTGATTTTACGTGGCTTCATATTTGCCGTCCATCCTCTCCTATTAGTCTTGATAAGAAAGCAGATGAGCCTGTTTCCCTGTAATGTGGGCTTTTCTTTGGCTTTGCTCCGTCTGTATGAAACACGTCGCTCCTTTCATGTTGACTCGGTTTCTGCATTTCTTTGGTCTCGTCTCAGTTCAAGTGCTGCGGCAGCAACAGTTCGTCCGACTGGGCCGAGAGCGTCTGGATTCGCTCCAGAGACGCGCAGAGCAGGAAGGTTCCTGACAGCTGCTGCAAGACTCGCACCGAGCTGTGCGGCACCAGGGACCATCCCTCCAACATCTACAAGGTGGAGGTGAGCGCGGGACGGCGCCGCCGGCTTCATCTGTATTTCTGTCAGGCCTCAGCGGCAGCAGCCGATACACGACATTTGTTTGCAGCGAGGCTCCCACATCAGCCTGACGCAACATCAAGACACTCTTTGTTTTTTCTTTTTCTTCCATTTAGGGCGGCTGCATCACCAAACTGGAGAAATTCATCCTGGATCACCTGAAGATCATCGGAGCCGTGGGCGTCGGGGTCGCCTGTGTGCAGGTGAGCAGATCAGAGTTAATGAATACATCCGAGGAGGCGCTGGGCTGTTTTTCCTTCCTTCCCCACATCACAGGGATGTTTTTAGACGCTTCTTCTCTATTTTAAAACAATCCTGTTCAGTTATTGATCCGCATCGATACATCTTACAGCATCAAACTTACTTTAATCTGATTATTTTAGACTTTTCAGCCCTACTTCGGCCCTACAAAGCGCTGATTTGCTGTTTTTATTACGTCGACACAACAGGTTTTCAACATTGATGATTTAGTTTGCATTCTAAGACAAGATAATCCTTTATTAATCCCACAACGAGGGAATTAACTCATTTATGTTACAGCAGCAAAGGGGGCGGTGCAAGAAAAGCAGAAAACATCAGTGAAAAATGTAAAATAACCCAAAAATGTACACAAGTGCTGTTGATATTGTGGGAATAGATGGATTATTGTGGCCGATATTTGACATTTTTTCAATTATCTGTATCTTTATTTTTTCTGAGCGATTACTGGTCTTAGAAACTGAACCACAAACAGGAAGTTAGCTCCTCCCACAGCGGCTAAGGCTACGCTAACGGCTAGCGTCTGAGTTAGCAGGCGGCCAGAATATGAAACGTGTCACACAGGATCTCAGCATTATTTTGACCACAAGCTGTAAAATCAGCAGATAAACCGAACTATGTTATCACCTCACAGGAGAAGCTAACCTGTGTTTCCCTTCGCTCCCCAGATCATCGGGATGGTGTTCACCTGCTGCCTGTACCGAAGTCTGAAGGCAGAGCCGTACTAAGACAGGAAGAAGAAGAAGAAGAAGGAGTGAAGTGTGGGTGAAGGAGGTAACTTCACCAACACGTGCCATATCCAAACAGCCCATAGGTTCTTTTCTTTTGCCTTCCACCAAGGGGAGGAATAATTTGGCGGGGGATCAAATTGCACATCCGAGGATCTCATTTTGGTAAACAAAGGGTAGAGAAACACTACGAGCTTTTCTTGATGTAATTAGCCGCTCAAATTGCAGCCACGTCTCCGAGATCACAGCGAGGAGAGAAAAAAAAAAAGCATGTGAGGGAAGCTGATGGGGACTTTTAACGGCGGCTGTGTAAATTAGCGCCAGGCGGCCTCCTCCTCCTCCTCCTCCTCCTCCTCGCCGGCGCCGGAGACGCTGTGGATTTGTCTTCCACTCGGATTCCCTCGATGTGCTTTTATAGGAGCAGGTGAGAGCGGCGTTAAGATCAGCGGGAGATGTTAATCCTGGTTGCAGCAGTTTAACAAGAATCACCTCCGGGGCTCCGCCGGCTGCTCTGTTTCCTCGCTAACTAGACACTCGTGCATCTTAACTCCTTTTTTGATTTGTGGCCTTTGAAAGCCCTGAGCTGGTCTTACGTTTTGTACTTTCTGCTCGACGTGCTTCCTCACGAGCCGTTATTTACCTAATTTATTGCCTCGTGTGTCTTCGTCACCAGCTTTGTTTTAATGGAGCTGATTAATCGGTTAGTTGTCGACTGTTTTGGTGGCTGTTAATCAGCTAAACTGTCTGATTGCAGCTCATTCAATGTGATTTTTGTTTGTTTGTTTCCTCTATGGTTTACATATCTTTGGACAAAACAAAACATCTGCCGACTAAACCTTTCGGAAACACAAATCGACAGTTTAAAGACCAGACAACTTACCGATTAACCCAGAAATGAATCTGCAGCATCATCAGCGGTAAACATGAGTTGGTTGGTGGTTAATTCTGCCAGATTAGACACCAGGGTGGAGGTGCGACACTCAGTGCCTTGCTCACCAGCCTAACTGTGCCATTTAAACAGCGTCTGGCTGCTCTGAAGCCCCGACCGCATAGAAAACATTCTGCTCTTCAGTTTGGTTCTTCCTGGTTCTGGTTCCCTTGGTAACCGTGCTGCGTATTTGATGGGCAATGCTGACGGTTCACCGACGTTTTAATTAGTTGTACGACTGATTGTCTGCATGTGGCAGCTCACCTGTCGAAGGTGAAGAAAAGCTGGCGTTGGATCGTTGGCCATGCTTGGAAATTTAGAGAAAATATCTAATTAATTGATTTTTTTTCTCGTTAAAATGGATGTGATTAAACGCTTGGTTTATAGATTTAAAACGTAATGTAGCGTTACCATATTCCAACAAAAGAGTGACACGAGGAGGACGGCGTGAATGATTAAAATCTCTATATGACTGTTAAATAACAAGACGGGCTTACGTCGGTCGAAACACAGTCCGACTCGCTAGAACTGAAAATTTAAAGTTTTGTCGAGGATTCAAATCGTGCAGTCACGCGGCTCTTTTTGGTGAATTCATTTTAATCTCATTGTTCGTCTTCCTGCTGCAAACGTTCCACCAGAACAGTTCCAAACACCGATGCAGCGTCCCGTTTCTGGTTTAAAGAAAAGCTACCGAGCCAGAACTTTATAACCACCTGTAGCAGAGTTTTCTGGTGACATTCGTCAGAGCCACGTGGAATTAATTAGTCTGTGTGCAGCTTAAACAACCTGAACGTTTCAATCTGCTCGAATGAAATTAAACTGACATTGCAGCCTTTTGCTAATCGCGTTGTTTAAAATCGCGATTTGAAGTTGATTAATCGCTCAGCTGCTAGCTAACTTGTGCGGCCATTTTTCCGTCTGTTAATGATTCCATATGAGTTGTCTTCAGTATCTGTCAATATTGATAATTATCCTAATTTTTAATTATTTAACATTTTTAAAAACTTAATTTCGAGTGCCTGTTTAGCCTGTTAATCATGTTACACTGCTAATAATGAATAAATTAAACACCAATAAATAAATGTACACACATAAACAAAGACCCATGGATGGAGCATGTTGGTGGTTGTTTATGCAGCCAAACTTTTTTTTTCATGTATTATTCATGTATTATTATACTATCCATATTTACATAATCAAACATGATTATTGATCGGTGAAGACTTTATCTCCAGGACTTCGTTTAAGGGTCGAGGTTAACCTTTAGGGAACTCGGTGATGACAGAAAATTAATCGCTAACGTTTGTTTCGCTCGTCGTCGCTGCGTTTCGCCAAACGTTGCCTGATTCCTGCTCGTCTGTTTTCTGTGTTCGGGGCTTCACGAGCAGCCGCCGATGTTCCTGAAACATCCAGTCAGCGCCACTTCAGCCGCTCATGAGGAAGCACGTCGTCGGGTTTTTGATTTTACTGCCTTGTTTTTCTACACACTGATGCCAAAGTCCTCGCCTGTACCGTCGGACCTACTGTCTCATCTCACGTTTTATCTACTGGACTGATTTTTTAGATTGTTTGTCTTTTAAATGAAGATTTTGTTTTTACTTTTCTACACACCATGAGTATATATATATATATATATGTGTTATTGTATTTAACTGCTAGATGTTAGCGACGACCTTCTCCTGTGTGCCTCAAAGACCAAACTGAATTAATCTGCTGTATTTCTGTCTTAATCAAGGAACTATTTTAGTCTGAATAAACGTCGATTAAAGAAAAGAGCTTGATTCTGCTGTGATTCTACAACCAAACATTTGAAGGACTTTGCTGCTCAGACACACAAGACGTCGACCTTCACCTCAGCTATCAGGTCGCGTCATTCCAAAAAAACTGCCAAAAACACCCGTGATTGTGTAAAGACTAAAGCTCGCGCCTGTGACCAGTGGCCCCGACACAATTGGCACCAGCTTACAGGTGCATTAGTGTATTAAGCACAAGTCAATTCGCTAATGTTCCAGCGGTGCGGTGATGTCGCTTTGGGATGTGAGCCACGCTCCCGACAGCCGCTGTGTGAGTTCATTACCTACAGCGCCACAGCTATACGGCCTGTAGCCGCTCTTCTTCTGCCGCTCCGCTTCCTGACCTCCTGCTTCCGTTTGTGCATCACAGCAAACAAACAGCAGTGGCGACGTGCCGACACAGGGGGGCAGCACTCACCAGGCTTTCAGCGCCGCGCCGCCGCGCTGATGCAAACAGCTGGTTGTGGGAGAGAGTGTGCAAAAAAAAACGCCCAGAGGCTGTCGAGGATCCCCCCCCTCCCCAGACGCACTTTTCTGATTCACGGCGGCTCTGACGCCCCAAAAAAACGTGACTTTTTAAACCTGAGCGCGGCGACAAATGTCACTCGGCTTTCTTTCTTTTCTTTTTTTTTTTTTGTCGGCCCTGTTTCCCTCTTTCACAAAAAATCTGCTTCTCGGCGTCCCGTGTAATGAGCAGAAAAAAAGCAAATCAAACAGCAACCGGTCAGCTCAGCCTCAGACGACTAATTGGTTTCCGCCGGGACTGCTAACAAAGCAAATGAAGACATTTCTCAGTTGGAGAAGCGGCCGTGTGAGAAGCCTTTCCCCTCACGTGGGTGAAGCCAAACAGGCGAGAAGAGTCGGTGTGTGTGTTGTCATGCTGCCCTGAGCAGGTGTTTCAGCAGCACACCTTCGTCGTGAAAGCTGAGTCATCGCTGGCAGAAGTGAGCTTCTTCTTTTTTACACCGGAGCAGTCCAACACATGCCAGTCTTCACGGGGCGCTTCTCCAGGCGGCAGACATCTGTGGAACGCCTGCTCCCGACACACTCGCTGCTTATTGACTTTAAATAGATGACAGAAATCATGACGAGCAGTTACACGCCGCAGCTGATGAAAACTGTGATGAATCCCCGTCCTGCCCGCTCGCCGTGACACACAGCCCAACACCGGCGCTATGCTAATAATGCCGGCGCATGACATTTCCAAAATATCTCCTTCCCGCACTCTGTAAGCGGTCCGCTCGCTGCACATGTCACCTGCTGCACCTTTGGTCCATCCAGCAGAGCGAGATGCTATTTCCAGCCCTCGGGGAGGCCGTGGACACCCTTCACCCTCCACCTTTTTCCTGGGAGGTGATGTGATTTCCGTGCCTGCCGGGCGAACCGACAGCAGGGAGCTGTGCTGCAGTTTTTGTCTGCAGCTGGTGACGGGGAGGGAGCACCGTGCAGGCATTCGTTCCCAGGGTCACCCAAGGGCAGGTAGAGCCCAGGGGGAGGCAGGACCGGTGTCTAAATTTGGGTCCGGTTCGTGCAATTTTCAGCAGGGACGGACGGACGGACGCTCGGCCTGCTGAGGTTAATAATTTGTTGTTTCAGATTCGGTTTCGCAGGCCTTCCATTCATCACGGCCTAAAACGGTTGCTGTCTGCGCCGAGGTTGAGCCGAGGTCAGGAAGGTGTCAGTTAAGTTTAAGGTTACCTACAAGGAAATGAATGTGAACTCCAGACTCAGAAAGTGCAGCGTGCGTCAGGACCACCCAACGAGGCAGATAAATCCTCAGAGCCGTGATGATTAACGGCACAGCGCAGAGAAAGCAGTGTTTACTCTAACGTTAAATTATGTTTGGCCTCATTTTTTTTTCTTCTTCTGATGAATTACCAGATAATTTTAGCTTCCCAGGATCCCTAAAAATTCAAATAAATAAATCTGGCTAACTAGCCGCGACTTGAAGGCATGCAGCCTGGATGGAAATAGACGCTGCACAAGCTGACGAGGTGAAGAACCACCGTCAACCTCTGTGTGTTCGTTACATAAAGACAGCGCTACGCCTGGGCAGGTATGTCCTACCTGCAGTTACTAAACCTGCCAAAGGGCCTAAATCTCTGGGGTCCTGATGATTAACATGTTCTCTCTCATATAAAGTTGTGTTTTTGTTCTGTTTTTTGGACTTTTGTTGTTTTATCTGACGAATTATCAGATAATTTTAACTTCCCAGGATCCCTAAAAATTCAGATAAATCAATCCGTCTAACGAGCTGCAGCCTGACGACGTGCAGCCTTCTGACAGGAGGCTGCAAATAGACATGGCGCTGTGTTTAAGAGGGGACAAGATGAAAAGGTGAAGAAATACCGTCGTCCTCTGTGTGTCTGTTACATAAAAACACTCTGAGCTGGCCTGAAAAACTGATGTGTGGATCTCAGTGTGGATTTGTTAGATCAGTTTCCTGAAACCAGAATTCAACAGGTGGCAAACCTCTGCTGTTACCTTCATGAGCTCATTGCTCATGTTTTTATTTTATTTGTGGTCAAACTTATGCCCAAGTTTTTCCAGTTTTTCCTGATAAATTACCAGATATTTCTGGGATTTCTGCGACACTAAAAATTTAAATAAATGAATTTGGCAGCCCTTCGACGAGGCTGAAAAGGTGAAGAACTGCCCTCATCCTGTGGGTATCATGAGTAATACCCCTGGGTAGGTTCTTCTGAATGGTCTCAGCGTTGAT